AGGATGTTCTAGTGGCTTTTGTGGCCAAGGCGCTGGGTCTTCCAAATTGCCGCCAAAGGCCCGTATCTTGGAAATGTAGCTTCTCTGGCAATCAACTGTTGACCCAGGCCCACTGCCTGTCCCACAGTGGGAGAGTGGAGAGGCCATAGTATGCCTCCCCTGATGGTGTGGTTGAAGGGCATGACTATTTTAAGAACTGACAATGCTCTTCCAACTTGAACATGAGAGCACGCACTCTTATTCTTGTGGGTCATCACTGCTGAAGAGATCGTTTTTGGTAAAGACGGTGATTCCAAAGATGTCAGAAGGTGTCAGAAAAGGAGAGACGAGGACCTGCTGCTTGGGTTCATGGCTCGGAGTCCAAAGCAGGAGTAAAACTGACAAGCAAGCCGACCATGGAAATCGAAGCTAAGAAAAAAATTTGTGGAAAGCCCCCTGCATTGCATCAAATCCTTCACGCGGGGGTTACAACTATGCCCATAACGTGTTTGTCCCCCTGTAGCATTCTTCCTCGGACCACCCTCGGACTGGGATCCGTCTCTGTTCAAATAAATCCAGTCAGCTGCAACAAGCCATCCCTGATCCAGCCCCAGTCTTGAACTTCATGTCCACCACTCTAATCAAAGAGATTCCACACCACACTCAGCAACTTGGACCCTCCAACTCCAACATGCTTGTTTGGCTTGCCCTGACATTGCGTGCTCGCACTTGTGATGTGTCGGCCCCACGCATTGATTGATCCCTGGCATGGTTGATTGGAGACAGTGAGCGGGCTGATGGGTATAGGTAGTATGTAGGTATCGGTATTCAACCAAGGTATGATGGGAAGGGAAGGGGGTGAGAGGTGATTGATGCAGTTTTTGTGGAGTGAGGGAACCGGCGGGAAGGGTTGGGTCCTTGGTGAGGACCACTCGGGGAGTCTCAGTGGGCTTACCACGCGGGGCAAGATGCTTGTGGGAAAAAAGAAAAAAAAGTGCAGATATGGAAGAGTTTTCACCAAATTTTTCCATTTTAATAAAATGTCCACATGAAAGAAAAAAAAAATCTCACGTTTAGCCCGAGTTTTTTTTTTTTTTTTTTTCAAAACATTGTCTTTATAATAATACAGAGCCATTATATTCATCTGAGTCTGTATGATTGAGAAAAAAAAAAAAATCACATTTATACTTGACTAAAAAACCTCACCTGTAATAATACTCTTCCTTTGTTGAGATTCACAAGTTAGGGATTCTTTTTAACTTTTTTTTTTTTTTTTCCTAGTTTCACAGTAACCACTTCTTGCCTGTAAATTTAATAATAATAAAAAACTTTGAACCACCTTCCCTCACCCCACTCCAGTCCACTCCACTCCACTATTGGACATGATGACCCAAGTAAGTTGTGAAAAAAAGGCAAAAAAAAAAAAGGATTAAATATATATATTTGAACCTGTAAAAAGTTTCATTCATCATTCTAAAAAAAAAAAAATTATAAATTTATAAATAATCTCTCTTAAATTTCAATAATCACAAAAACTCTCTTTGTCTTTAAAAATCTAAGTAAATAAATTTTATGATACTGTTTATAGGTACTTGTTCATACCCTCATCCAAAAAAAAAAAAAGTTGATTTGAGAATCAAGTACACCTTTTTCTCCCTTTAACTGTTCAAAGCCAATTGACAAAAAAAAAAAAAAAAAAAAAAAAAAAAAAAAGTTTGATGGCAAAACCAATGTTTGTTCCCAAATTCAAGTTTTTACTATTACCCTGATTGTTGTTATTTTCCTTCAAGGTGAAAAAATGATATATATCAGATTCCACTGGACAGAAAAGGGTTCGCTCTGACATACTAAACTGATTTGTTGATATCCAAGTGCATCAACCCTCCCTCACAAGGTCTTGTACAGAAACACACAGAGAGAGTTGGAAAATTCTACACTTTCTTTTTGCACTCTTCCCATACTGTAGTGCAGTAGAACCTCAGCAGGCTGAAACGACAGCCACAGTCATCCGTGGTCGATAAGCGTAGTGGGATGTAGTCTAGATGACGATGTGCTCGCACATTCACATGGTTTGATAGACTGAAGACTTCAAACACTTCAAAGTGGTCAATCAATATTTAAAATCAGGGATGCACGCATCTATGGCGTTGGCAATGTACAGACCGTGGTAATGCCCTGATAGACGAAAGCTGACCTGAGGGCAGCTTCTATGGGGTCATGACATCTAGGGGCTCAGTTGATATAGTTACCTTTCTCTTCAGGGAGACCCGTGTGACACCTGACTTGCAGAGTGTTGTACAGCTAATTAACACATTATCCTCTAAAAATCCCAGAGCTTACGCCCTGAACCAAAAAACGCTAACATGTATAAGCACCTACATCCTGGAAAGGACTACTGGGAGATTTTCATTTCAGTTTACATTCTTCAGCACAGTCGGATTAAGACAGATAACAATTTGAGAAAGAACTCATGATCCACTTGTAAACCATCTTTCTCTAACAAACGATGTTCTGATCTTCTGGCTTTGGCTTTGATAACTGGAAACGGGGGTGTATGGTGTTGAGAAGCGAGCCCTTCGGACGACGAAGAAAAACCCCTTTTTTTTTTTTTTTTTTTTTTTTTGTAATTACTACCGCGCGAATGGAAGGTAGAATTGCATCTGAAATTCAGACTGGCAGGGATGAAAAGAAGATAGTGTTAACATCTGAGAAAAACTAAGCATACAAACCAATTGAAAATAGAAACAGTGTTTGACAACAAGCGATCTAGTAGGCTATGGAAGAACTGGGAAAGAAAGCAAGTGGGCCTATGAGTATTTCCTGATCGTGCTCAAAGTTGGACTCGAGTTGCAGGAAGAACTTTAACAAGTGAGATATAGGGTACGGCCACTCTGGAATGCTACCAAATAAGCCTGCATCTAATCGCTGCCCGGCCAGATCGCATGTCGGAGAGGCGGTAGGCGCTAATGCAGCGATTTATTCGGTGTTCCCATTGAATTTGTGTCGTTGCTTGGTCCCGTATTGGGTCATACCCTTACCAGATCCGACGACACCAACTGCATGAAAGCAAAGCATTTGAATAGATGTCAGCCAAGATACTCGTCATAATGTCGGACCAGATCATACAGTAATAGTAGGTATAAACAGGGCATGTAGAAAAAGGTTGATGGCCAATGTATTCCAGACCGATAGAGATGAGAATGTCCGAGAAAGGAAGTCAAATTATATTTGCGAGCGCATGGGAGAAACAAGTAGGCTCAGCAAAGCAGCGTAGGGACCAAGAGGAAGGAAAAAGAAAACATCCCACGATGAAGGTAGATATGTGCAATGATAGCCCTCGCGCTGCGTCAGATATTGCCGAGTGGCGTTCAATTGGTTGATGTATATGGATTCAACTTAGGTCTGGAGCTAATCGAAGCGAGCAACAAAGAAAAGGTTGAGAGTCGGACAAGAGCACGTACCCTTCCCAAAAGGGTTGTCGGGTGATGCAAACATTGAATCGCCCGCCTGCGGTCAAAGTGGAAGACTTGAGAACAATGATACGACTGAAAAGGGAACGAACAAGTGACGAGACGGACGCACGATACCAGGAATGTGAACACCTTTCTTGACGCTCTTCTTCGCAAAAGTCTGCCATGACTTTTGCTTCTCCATCTGTTCAGCTGCTTTGGCTGCCTTACTTTCAGTCTTCTTCTCGTTCTTCTTCCGTTTACGATCCTTATCAGACTCCTGCTCGGGGTCCCCCAGAGACCGCTTCTTAGCATCCGGCATAGGTTTAATTTCGGATGCCGTTACCAATTCAGTGGTGTCATAGCCTTTAAAGACAACCGTATAGATCCGGGTATCTGACGACCCACCGATTCTGACGTTCATATATGGGTTGAGGAATAGAGTAGTGATTTCCGGTGAGTGATGTAGATGCATGCGGGCAAAAGCTAAGAAAGAAGCATACGTAGTAATTTTCGCTGGATAATATTTCCCATCACCAGCATATTTAGCCATGCAAGTATCTCCGGCGTTCAAATTTTTATCGACAGCGTTCGAAGCTGACTGTCCAGCAGGCTTCGACTTCTCCTTGTTAGATTTAGGCTGATTAGAGCCATTCTTTGACGAATTCGCTGTGGGGTCTGTTTGCAAGGCTTTATCGTCACCGGTCGAAGAATTAGCATGCTTGCTACTTGATTGAGCTAAGAAATCTTTCGTTAAAGTAATCAAATTGACAAGCTCGTCTTTGAGGCTCATGAACTCGGGGTTCGAAGGGTCCTTCTCGAGAGCAAGATTGACCTACAGGCATTCCAATAGAGAACAAGAAACCAAAAGGGTTCACTGTAAACGTCTGATACGAGAGGAGGGAATAACCGACCTGACTAAGCTGATATTCATAGGTCTCGAGTTCCTTGGCGTCCATGGCTTGTGACGTGAGTAGATTTGACGAAGGGTGGCGATAATCTGGAATCGGCAGGGTTGACCGGGTCGAGGGTAGGTGGTAGAGGTGGAGAGGGTGGGCCTGTGGAGGTCAGCAACTCGGCTGGGCGGCAGAACATGAGCCGGGTCGGACCCCATTATTCCTTTGACTGTCCGTCCCGAAACGGCCCCGACCGGCCGACTCTGGTCGCTCTCAACCACATCAAAACACTCATACCGCATGTCACAGCGGTGTCACAGCTGGGGTAGCATTCGT